CAACATGTGGCAGAAGGAAGGAATTGAATTGAACCTGAAGTTGCTTTTAATAGAAGCATCAAGAACAAATATAATTCAGGGCTTTAGAGATAAGATAAGGTTTAATATTATGTTACAGGCAATGACATTGTAAATCACGAGAACTTCACGTGCAACTCTGTCTGGCCTTCTTGTTCAGTACAACCAAGCCAGATTATTATTTTTTTTGTTCCAAGTGCGTTTGGAACAACAAACATAACATGAGACACTTTGAATAAAGTGCTCTCAGACTCAGAGATTAAAACTAATTAGCACCAATTTCTAGCTCTAATCTGGGTGTAATCTGTGATTTGCCTGATTAGATATTGACAGCTTAAAATTGCTCACAGAAAGAATAAAAAATGGAAAATTTTGCTTATTGGAAGTTGGCCTCGTGAGAAAAAAATGGGAGGAGCACGAGACAGAGCAAGTGGGTTGGTTTGCTTTGTTTCTGGTGAAGCATAAGGTACCTATAAATTAATCAATCGCTTGGGTTTTCAGGTCTTATATAATTGCTTCGCTTTGCTTGGGAAATCTTGGGCCTTTTGATCCACTGCAAAATGCAAATGGCTTCATCATCATAATATATTTTTTAGTTGCCCTTTCCATATATTCCTAGTGTCTCATTTAGCACACACAGACAACTTTGTCTGTCACATTGCCCACCAAATATTTCAGTCTGTGTTTAAAGTGCAAGCTCTGCAAATCTTACTCTCTCATCTGCATGCCCTGTTGCCTACTCTGCAAATATAACACACACACACATATATATATCATCATGAGATGAATCAGCAAATTCAACTTCTGGCCTTTATTCTGAAAGAACAAGCCAAGCAGAAAAAAATGTCCATGTTTTAAGAAACCCATTTCTCAACAAGCCTTGTTTGTTACACAGTGAAAGTTTAATGACATCATCTTTGATAGAAACCAGCCAAAAATGACAATGCACTCTCATCATCTGCATTTCTTGTGTGCTCACTGGTCACCTAAAATATGCAATAATTGCCGGAGCATGGTACAGGGAAAGCCTAACATTGCTATCAAAGCCGTTGTCTTGTCCCTACAGATATGGTTCTGCTATATATTTATAGTCTATATGATGATAAGCTGAAGTCATTAGAGTCTTAAATCATGCTGATTAAAGTTAGTTAATATGCATTCTTATGTAGGATTCAACTTCTTCCCACCTCCTATCCTAATCCTATTGCCTGTTTACGTGGATCCAACAAAAAGTTAAAAAGAAAAACAACAAGGAAAAGCAATAGAAAAGAAGGGAAATTTTGGTGTTTTCTGCAGAATTATGACCTCATCATTTAGAAAATTTGAAGGTTCAGCTCATAAACTACCAAAAAAACAAACTTGCTACCTTGTGGTTAGTGGTGGCCGACCCATTATGCTGGTGGGTAATGCCTACACAAACATATTGATATATTTACCCAAATAAAAAAAGAGTAAAATAAAATAAAATATGATATAATAGTCCAAATTAGAACTATGTAGGCATAGCAATATTACATGTGAGGGGGAGAGGGAGAGAGGGGTCCTTGTTTTGTTGGATTGTTTTATCATTTTCCTATGTGTTGCTTGGGGTATGGATTCCAAAGTGGGTTGTGGGCTCCATTTGGGGTGTTGTCTGGTGAGTTTGGGGGCACTTCACACCCTTTCATGCCCCATCCTTGGCTCTTTTTTTTAGACCAATCTGATTGTGTGAGCAATTGGACCACACCCCTCTCCTCCTCTTTCTATAAGAAGCAGAACCTCCCTTTGGCCTTTGCACTTTGAAACCAATTCACACAAGCACATTCCCTCAAAAACCCTCATTTGACTTGCAAAAACTCAGCACCAGTCAAAGAGAAAAACAAAACAGATTGTAAAGATATGAAGATTGTGAGCAATTCCACCATGGCAGGCAGCAAGAGAAGGCTTTCTTCAAGCAAAGGACTTGGAGGGGTCCTCAGAGAGCAAAGAGCCAGGCTTTACATCATAAGGAGGTGTGTGGTCATGCTCCTTTGCTGGCATGATTAATTCAAGTCCTAGCTAAAGTTTTAAAAGTCCCAATAGTCCATGGCATGATGGGCAAGAAGATTTTGGTTCCTTTTTTCTTCTTCTTAATTTTCCCCCTTTTTTTTCTATCTTGATCTTCTTGGTTGAGTGTAAATAGCAGCAATGTTCTTCTGTCAGGAAGTTGAAACAAAATTTTGTATGGGTTGGGCCTTGTGGGGCTAGATATGTACATCGGATAGCATAATATAAAGTTTGATATTTATATTACAAGCTAGAGTTGTTAGTGTTCCTCATTCTCTCTCTGTATATTACAAGCTTGAGTTTCTTATGTTTATATGATTGAGCTACAATGATCAACATTCGTGTGATTCTGGCCTTAAATTTGGAAGAAAGTTCCAAACTTGCAACTATGAAGATTCAAAAAAGAGGGAGGTATAAAGTTTCTTCAATCATCACCTCCCTAAAGCCTCTGCTTTACCTCAGAAGGTCAAAGCAACTAAAGCCTAAGCTTTTCACTTCCTATAATGAACTTTTGATTGTTAAAATTGAAGATTCACATGCATGCCCATTGCCCAACCCAAGTTTTCTTCCTTTTGAGATGGTTTTCTCAATCTATTGATTTAAAAGAAGAATTATGAACAGATCAAATTGGTGCTCATCAGCTTAAATATCTTCTCACAGTGTTGTTAAAGGAAATGGACCGTAAGCATTCTCATGTTAATCATTTAAATTTCAAGTGAGGATTGCATTTGGAAATTGTAGGGTTCACTTCAATCCTCCACATAATTTGTGCTTTTTTGGATTGCATGTCCAAAAAGTGCAGAAACCATAAGAGATAGATGCATTCATAATTAGTACTTGATTTAGTCAGTTGATGACAAAATTGTACCTGAGATGAGACCAGGTTTAATTAAAATTAAACAAACAATTGCAGTTGGGCCCATCATCACTAATCACTATAATATTATAAGCTTTGATTGTGACCTTCTTGTCTTCAACCCCAACAGCACCACCACCACCACCATATCCTCAAAATCAATTCCACCTAAGCCTTGTCTTCAACTAAGTGAGCTCCCAAACATGGCCTTGTGAAAACAGCTTTTCACGTTTGGGTCAAAACCCAAACTCAAAGCTCCCTCTTCCTTTGTGGGCCACTTGAATTATTGGATCCCAACTCATGTTCACGTGTGCCACGTGTACGGTAATGATGGGCCTACCCCCAATAGTATTCCCTTTTGTCTCTTCTTTCCTTTTAGAGGAAGAAATAGGGAAGGGTTAAAAGAAAAAAAAGGCCAGCAGCTTCTACTTTTGTTGGAGTCATAAGTAAACCCCATCTACTCTCTGGAGCACCGTAATTCTCTACGCACTCGCATAATAGGTTGACACGTAGTTGCACAATGGTAACTAGACACGTGGCATACGATCTATTATCTTTGTAAAAACCAAAAACAGCTCTATTTTGTTGTCGTTATTTATTTTCTTCCTCTTGTTGTGTGGGTCAGAATGTCAGTTGCACAGGAGCTGAATGTGCAATCTTATATTCTGTTGTCGGCCACATAGGATAGTGCCACCTCTCTCTCTGTTTTCCTCTATTTTTTCTGTCAGGTTGGAGAAATACTTCCTCACTCCAGTTTAATTGTCTCTTTCTTCTTATTTGTATCCTCTTTTACAAGTGATATGAGGAGATAAATAAGAAAACAGGGCAACTAAACGGGAATACGAAATTTTTTCTCCTCACAAAGGGAGGCTTTTAGGATTTCGGGAGCTTCTACAATGAGAAGTTTAGAGTGAGGAGTTTATTTGATGGGTTCAATCCTACCATCAAACTACTTAAAATGTTTAAGTCCATTGATTTCCTCACATTTGTTGATGGTGGGATTGAAACCTTCAAATAAGCTCCTCACTTTAAACTCATCGTTATAGCTTTTCCGCATTATTTGAGGCTCTCTCTTCTCTTTTGGGCTATTTCGGCTATAAAAAAAAGCCCAGAGGCCCCCGACAGAAAGCCGATTGGGTCAAAGCAGCCTTATCATGCCCACGTGCGCCTCCCCAATCTTCAACCCCACCACACAACCGATTCTATTCTAATCAAACATGCGGCCCACGTGTGGTCCACACTGGGCACATCCCTTGTTCTCCAATAATGAAAATGTTACGCATCATAATAAGCGCAAGTGTAACATGGATGATATGCGTTATAACCCATCAACATCAACATTGAATATGGATAAGTATGCAGCTTCGTCATCAATCATGAAGATGAAGAAGATTCTCCAATACTCTTTTCTTTCGCTGTTTTCCTTATAGGATTATAAACAAATTATTTAAGAGATTAGCATAAATAGCGTGTGATTTCAGATCTCACACTAATCAATGACACCTTAGTATTGGTGGGCGTCATTGAAATGATATTGATGTTAACTAATCACGATTGATTGGTGATCACACTCAATTCCTTGTTAGGATGTGGATTATGGAAGGGAGAAAGTTTAGTGTCTTGGCATAGTTATCATTTAATTAATCATGTTGACTTAGGGTTTACTTACACTCTTTGGGATTATTGGAGAAGAGATGGGTCCTGGTGTGTCCCCAATATTAAGAAGGTGGCCTATTAACTCTATATGATATTAATATACGATATAGGATAGAAGATTATGTTGTGCCGGATGCCAACCAGGTTGCTGAATCTCATCTCTAAGACCCCTAACTGAATAGCATGTATACACATATTGTTAGCAGTTGAGGTCAGGTAATTACAATAATTAACAACATATTCTTAATGTCTTATTCAAACTAGTGATTAATTAAGATTGAATCATAAACTAATTTAGCTTCAAAGTAATTCAAGAATTTTTTAGTGGCATTTCTTCAGTTGGAGCCAAAAAAAATATTGCCAGGGTGCTGTGGCCCTCTGTGTCTACTCTTTAGCCGCATCAAGGCATCAAAAGAGAAGACCAAGGCCCGGCGGCACCGGACGCTTTTGCAACACAAAAGGGTACGTTTCCAAGTGCATATTGTGCTAAGGAGAAAAGCTTTAGGTAGGTCTTGCTAATACAACAAGGGTGGGTGCCCTACTGTCCAACAAGGGCACTTACCCTACAACATGCTTACCAGGCCACTAGCAAAGGGTGCTTGCTAGGCTAGGTCTTAATCTGCCTTCCCCACCAATCAAGATCATGCCTGCTCATCAACAAGCACTTGGAACCTCAAAAGTGATTAATTCATAAACAGGCCAGGTCTTAATCTGCCTTCCCCACCAAGCAAGATCATGCCTGCTCATCAACAAGCACTTGGAACCTCAAAAGTAATTAATTCATAAGCAGGCAAGGTCCAGTGGCGCTAGGCTAGGTCTTAATCAGCCTTCCCCACCAAGCAAGATCATGCCTGCTCATCAAGAAGCACTTGGAACCTCAAAAGTGATTAATTCATAAGCAGGCTAGGTCCAGTGGTCTCTCAAGCCATTTTCAAAGCCAACTTGCTTGTTCTATAAAGCCCTCTAAGTTGATGAATGTCTTATTGGTCCAAGCTGTGCTTCTCATTTTATTACATGTCAGCAATTCACTAGTGCTTTCCTTGGTATAAAGTTTCCAATAATTTGCTGGTCCACACGTTTATGTACTTTTAGTTTTTTTTTTTCCTTGCGCGTTTTCTGTAGTTCAAAATCCATTATAATTTCCATTTTATATGTTCAACATAAGTAAAGTGTCATGCGCACATCTTAAAATGCAATTCACTACATAAGCACTTTGCTGCTTACTTTGCTGGAAGCAGTAACTAAAATTAAGCCTGGTATATAAGAGAATTAATAGGTTTATATATTTGGATGTCAATGTTTCCAATCCAAAGATACAAAACAAACCAGATAAAACAACTGCATTTCAGCTTGAAGCTTAAAGAGGGCAGAAGTGTAAGTTTGATCAAGGCTCAAACCCAAAATATCGGTGAATTACAGTTACAAAGAGTCTTTTCCCACCCTTGACAAAAAAAAAAAGTCTTTTCCCACCAGATATCACGATTCAAGCTGTTTGGCAAAAGGTTAGATCTCAGAACCTGAAGATGATTTGACAGGCAAAGTTAAATCAAAATGTAGCTACAAAATATTTACCACCATGTAACCATACTCAAAACTAGAAAGCCCAAACCATATTCAGTCAGCCAACTTGACACCCCAAGAAAGGAAACTTTCCTGTGACCCAAATTCCTACAAAACCGAATGAAGAAATACATTGCCATAAGAAAATGCAAAGAGAAAAAATTGACTAAAAGAATAAGAAGCAAGACTAAGTGGCAGAGAAGGCGACTTACGAGCTGGCTAAGTCGGAAATCTGGAGGTGTATCTTCTAACATAATATTTGCAGGATCAAGGACAATATTTTGGCACTCCTCTAGATCCTTCTTTAAATTCTCTGGTCCTAGCTTAGCATAATCAGCAAGACGGGGTTTGACCTGTGCTGGTTCACCATTTTCATGTCCAGCCCTAATTGGAGATTGACTCTGAAGAAGATCATCACACAGAGACAACCCTTCCACAAGTTGTTGCGAATCCAGAAGATTCTGTGACTCGCTGTCCCACCATTTTGGATCTTCCTGAGCATTGTTTTCAGTGTTATTTATTACTTCATCGGCTTCATTTTCTACATTGTGTTGATCATAATGGTCAGGCTTTTCAAATTCAGGATGAACTTCATCTTCAGCATGGTGCATCTCAGGATGAACTTCATCTTCAGCATGGTCCATCTCAGGATGCTTCAGTTGAATACAGAAGCCACAAAAATAGCCCATATCAGTATCTCTTTCGATCAATCATTTACATTAAATCATAAAAATCTTAGGCAGCTTGCTTATATCTTAGAAACATGCCACTACCAATTACAGCATCCAATATCCCTTTTCTATTAATGGAGAGAGTATCCATTAGGGCAAGAATGTGAATGCAGACAGTATAATATTTAACTCTTCAATTTGAGTATGTTCGAAACAAACAATAAAAATGTCTTGACGTGCTGTTAGCAGAAAACTGGAAGTAAACTAAAAATCAAATATAGAAAACAAACCATACCTGAGGAAAGGGATCTCTGGAAGTAGCAGGAGTATCTTGTCCCAAATCAAAATCAGCAAGCTTTCGTTCAGTGCGCGGAGGTTCAGGAGTCACCGACTTGGGAGTGACTGGATCTACTTTTGTGATAACTAGATCAATACTTTCAGGAAGATCTTGATCAGTTTTATCAGCTTGCTTGACTTGCTGCTGCTGGTAATATATTTTGGATATAACATACTCTCCATCCTTCTCATCCTCCTCAGTTCCCAGGTGATATTGATGCATAACCCAATTGGTTTTCTTAGGTTTGCCTCCTCCGACCGTGCTCATGTAGAGAACCATAATCTTCTTACATCCTCTTTGAACCCCATCCAACATCACTGGTTTAGTCCTTCCAGTCTTGTGCCAGCGAACATCACCATCACCATCATGTATTTTTCGGCGCTTTCGGGTTCCAGTATTGTAAGCCTTAATTGCTCTGTGAAAGAAGTGGGATGCATTTCCATCTTGCTTAACACCTAAAATTTAATTTTTTGAATCAATTAATAAAACATTAAGGACCAGCATTAAGCAAAAAAAAAAATGTTAGCCACTTACTTGGTAGTTTGTGAGGATGGGAACAACAAATTCCTTCATCATCATCAACAGTTATGATAAACTCATCAATAAAAGGATGGGGTTTTAACTCCTCTGCACCAGATTTTGCAATTAAGTGCCATATAATCTCTTGATCAGTTGGATCAAATTTTACACCCTTGGGTAAACCCGGCCACTCTTGAGCAACCTGGAAAGAGAAATTGCAAACGACTTTTGTTAAAAAAGAAGATCCAAGAAAAAGAAACAAACTTTCATTAACTAAATTGTTGGAAATGTTTTCCAACAAGAGCTTCTCTAACTGATGGGTTTTCATCGATGAACGTTAAAAGTGTAATATCTGGATGAAAAAACAAAAACAAGAATCTTACATCACTATTGTCAATTGTATATTGGCAATTTGGACAAGCTCTAGTTGGGTTGCTTTGCCATTTAATTCTTTCAGGATCACTGGTTCCAGATGCACTCTTGATTTTTGTGGCAATTCTATTTTTGTCCACCAACCATGATGGTCTGCATAGATCACACAAATTATTACACTTGAAACAATCAGTTGCTCCAACATATGGATCAGAAAAATACTGTAAACTCTGAACCCATCTTAATTAAAACCAGATATTCTAATTAAGCTGGGAGTACACTGAAAATATACATAAAGGTATAACCAACATAGGACAAAGACGATTGAGAAGAAACAACATATGAAAGATTAATCAATCATTATCATAATACACCACCAAAGTATTAAAAGTGCCTAAATTATCAGAACACACACAGAGGTGTGTCATTGCAAACTGTGAATACAGGTGACCTCTGACTTTATGAGAACACAGCAAAGCTCATACTATTTAGAGGCTGTTTATGTTAGCTCAGGTGCACACGGCCTCTTCCATCTCTTGGAAAATAAATGTATTACACATTATTATGAATCCCTCTCTCAACCTTCCCACCTAAATATAATTAAGGGTACACTTTGAAACAGAATAAAACCCTCTGAGGGCATAACGATTAATACATGAAATATACACACATACCCACAAAAAACGAAAAAGAAAAAAAAGAGATTATGGATCTAAGTGTATAGCTCAGCACTCAACAATGACAGCAGAACAATAACCATTGCTAAACATTCAGGATGGCTCTCAACTGAACGAAAGTAGTTTATAAATGTCAGAGCTTAAGCACTGTCATTTGTCAATTGATAATCCACTGTCATTTAAAGCTTACAGATTGATTGCCACTGTTCAGTCCACTGACAAAATACTACATGTCCTAAATCGATAACTGTTTTTCATGGTACATTGATCAGATGAAAACATAAACTATAACAAATTGAATGAAAAACTCAGAAAATTCCATGATAAATCTGAAAGAAGCATCAATAAATATACACACAATTTAAAAAAAAAAAAGAAAAAAAAAAGAAAGCTAAAAACTCTAAAGTCATCCAAAACTGGCCCAAACTAAAATAGCAACAGAGAGATGCGCATACCCAGCCATAGGTGAGCGATAACGATGAACAAGCCCAACTCAGAGTTCAGAGCTCCAAAGGCCGCCGACTTGCTTTCTCTCTCTCCCCGCTCCGCGCTTCGTCTACTTCGACTGACCGACCAATTGACTCGAACAGGACTTCGGGTATTTATATTTAACTCGACTTTGTTTTTCCCATTTACCTCGTATTTTATGAAAAAAGCAAGAACTAATAAAATATTTCTTTTTAAAAATTTGATTTTGAATATTGAAACCGCGTGTTCTTTTCTTCAAACAAATATATTATATTATATTATTATTTTTTTTCTTTTTAACGATTTTCTAGTTTCAATAATTGTAATAAGAAGAGGGCGCGAAGAGGGGAAAGTGGCGACTTGGCGTCAACTTCATTCATTAACCGCTGTTGGTCAAAAATCTGTTTTTTTTTTATCACACGTGTCAACCATCAATTAGCTTCAATAGAAAGAAAAAGGGGGTTTCACTAAAACACCCAAAATGGGGACTGGAATTATAAAAAAACCCAACACCCAAAATACTTTATAAACACACCCAAAATCCATCATTACACACACTCAAAACCCATTTATAAACACACCCAAAAAATATACAATTGTTGATTTTGGGTGTGTTTCTATGTTTAAATAATATGTAGATTTTTTTATAAATACATGTTTAGGATTGAGTTTATTTATAATAATCTAAAAGAAAAAATACGGCAAGCATTAGCAATTTATAAAGCATGATGTACTTTTGTTTAAAAACTTAGAGGAAAATTGACTATTTTCACCGTCAATGCGAGGACAATAGAAACTTTACTTGAGTTTACTCTCACTACCAGCTTCAGGATAATAGAAATAAAGGATATTCAATGTTTAGATGTCAAGTTTCTCTTTTCAACATGCGTTCCTTAAAGCAAATTTCCTTTGCGGATGCATTGGTTGATATCGCTCACTCTCAACATCTCTATAAAGTTTGGGTTGGGTCTCTTCCTTGCATAGCTATTAGTTATGTATGCTTTCAAGTTATATCGATATGACATCAGTGTAACCGTGTAACACTATTTGTTTTTTAATTTATCATAAAAATATAATATATAAAAAAATAAAAATAAAATTTTTACCTTCTTTGTCAAAATTTCTAATTTATTTTGTCATTGAAACCCAAAAAATTCATATGAAAGAAATCCGTATGATACCACAGGTACACATATTTTATTTTTAGAAAAAAGCAAAAAAAAATATTTTTTAGGGTCCGCTAAAATGACTAGACTAGGGTAGGAAGTAGTGAATAGTAAAGGTAAGTCGCGAATCGGCGATTTCTGTTCCCAATTAATCCCAAATTCCCCTTCGTCGCTTTCCCACTCTCTTCTCCGTTCGAATTCTGCGAAATTCCCAATCACCACCATGAGCAGCAGAGCCAGAAACTTCCGCCGCCGTGCCGATGACGATGACGACAAAAACGACGACCCAAACGACACCGGAACCCCAGCGACGATACCCACCGTCAAATCCTCATCAAAGCCCTCTTCTTCCTCCTCCTCCAAGCCCAAGAAGCCACACAATCAAGCCCCAAAGCTCCTCAGCTTCGTCGACGACGAAGAAAGCGCCGCAGCCCCATCTCGCTCCTCATCTTCCAAACCCGATAAGCCCTCTTCTCGTCTCGGCAAGCCCTCTTCAGCCCACAAGATGACAGCTCTCAAAGACCGTCTCGCTCATACCTCTTCTGTGTCGACTTCTCTGCCCTCCAACGTCCAACCCCAAGCTGGAACCTACACCAAAGAAGCGCTTCGTGAGCTCCAGAAGAACACGCGAACCCTAGCCAGCTCTCGACCCTCCTCCGAACCCACCATTGTTTTAAAGGGCCTTGTCAAACCCACCGGCACAATCTCCGATACGTTGAGAGAAGCCCGGGAGTTGGACTCCGACAACGATGAAGAGCAAGAGAAGGAAAGGGCTAGTTTGTTTAGGAGGGACAAGGACGACGCCGAGGCCCGATTGGCCTCGATGGGAATTGACAAGGCAAAGGGCTCATCTGGGTTGTTTCCTGATCAAGAGACCATAAATGCGATTCGGGCGAAGAGGGAACGGCTCAGAAAATCGAGTGCGGCGGCCCCGGATTTTATTTCATTGGATTCAGGGAGTAATCATGGCGCTGCTGAAGGGTTGAGCGATGAGGAGCCCGAGTTTCGAGGTCGAATCGCCATGTTTGGGGATAATATGGAGGGTTCTAAAAAGGGTGTGTTTGAGGATTTTGATGATAGGGCAGCGGATGCTGTATTGAGGCAAGAAAGCATCGACCGTGATGAGGATGACGACGAGGAAGAGAAGATTTGGGAAGAAGAGCAGTTCAGGAAAGGGTTGGGAAAAAGGATGGATGATGGTTCTAGTATAGGCGTGGTCAGCAATAGTGCTCCTGTGGTTCAGAGTATGCCCCAACTGAAGGCTACTTACTCCGCAATGGCGGGGTATAGTTCAGTACAGAGCGTGCCTGTTGGGCCAAGTATAGGAGGGGCCATTGGAGCATCACAAGGTTCTAATGTGATGTCGATAAAGGCGCAAGCTGAGATTGCTAAGAAAGCTTTGGAGGAAAATGTGATGAAGCTTAAGGTATGAAACACTGCTCTTCTTGTCAAAAATGAATTTTTTTAAAATTGAAATTTTTTATGTTAGTGACATTTCAAGGTCTCATGGGAATTAATAATGGAAAGAAATATTGGCTTCTACTCTCTACGTCAATTTCTGCTCACTAGTTATGTTTTTAAGCTATGTGTAGAATAAAGATTTGTCACTTTCCAACAGCTTTTTTGGGATTTGACATTAAGAACAACGGTATACCGTAGAATACATAGCTGAATATGCAAACCATACTTTTGGAAACAAAAGACTCTGCCGGTGTCGGTAACTCATTTCTGCTTGATATATCCACATTTTTTGGGGCGTTGATAGCATATGCATATGTATGACTGTCCACTCAGAATATGTTTTGTCAATTTCTGCTCACTAGTTATGTTTTTAAGCTATGTGTAGAATAAAGATTTGTCACTTTCCAACAGCTTTTTTGGGATTTGACATTAAGAACAACGGTATACCGTAGAATACATAGCTGAATATGCAAACCATACTTTTGGAAACAAAAGACTCTGCCGGTGTCGGTAACTCATTTCTGCTTGATATATCCACATTTTTGGGGGCGTTTATAGCATATGCATATGTATGACTGTCCACTCAGAATATGTTTTCTGATTCATATGATTTGCTCCTTTTTTATTATTTTTTTTATTTTTTAACTCTCAGGAAAGTCATGGCAGAACCATGTTGTCACTAACTAAGACTGATGAAAATTTGTCTTCCTCACTGTTGAATATTACTGCTCTCGAGAAGTCTCTGTCTGCTGCTGATGAGAAGTATAAGTTCACGCAAAAGCTTCGTGACTTTGTTTCTGTCTTATGTAACTTTTTGCAGGTATGCTATTTGCAAAATAACAACATGAATTATCATTCCCCCCCTCCCCTCTCTTCCTTCCCATTTACACATATGTATAAGTTCATAGGAAAGGTGATTATGGTTTTTAAACAGACAAGAAGAATGGAAATTGGTGGTGTATGATATACATGGGGAGTTTATATTGTTTATGTTTCTTCTTTGAATTGGTAGTGCCATAGTACTTTCAGTTTAAAAACTACTTTATGTTTCTTCTTTTGTTTTCAATTTTTAATCCCAGTATGGACATCATTTGACCAGAACTAATCTTCTTTTGCTGTAATTCTTCATTTTCAGGTTAAAGCTCCTTTGATAGAAGAGCTTGAAGAGGAAATGCAGAAAATTCATGAACAACGTGCATCTGCTACTTTGGAAAGAAGAAGCGCGGATGATGATGAAATGATGGAAGTAGAAGCAGCTGTAAAAGCAGCAATGTCTATCTTCAGTAAAGAAGGTAGCAGTGCCGAAATAATTGCAGCCGCTAAAAGTGCAGCACAAGCTGCAACTACTGCTGAGAGGGAACAAACAAATCTACCAGTGAAATTAGATGAATTTGGTAGAGATATGAACCTTCAGAAACGTAGGGATATGAAAGGGAGGTCCGAGGCTCATCAACACAGGAAAAGAAGGTACGAATCTAAGGGACTGTCATCCATGGAAGTGGACAGTACCCATCGAACAATAGAAGGGGAATCAAGCACCGATGAGAGTGACAGTGAGAGTAATGCATACCACGAACACCGCCAGTTAGTACTCGAGACTGCTGCTCAAGTTTTCAGTGATGCAGCCGTGGAATATTCCAAACTTTCATTGGTCAAAGAAAGGTTTGAAGAATGGAAGAGAGACTATGCATCCAGCTACCGTGATGCTTACATGTCATTAAGTGCTCCTGCTATATTTTCTCCATATGTAAGGCTGGAGCTTGTGAAGTGGGATCCTCTCCGTGAAAAAACAGATTTTCTAAATATGAGCTGGTACTTGTTCATAAATTTGAAGTGCAAAATATTTCACACCTACTAGACAGACTTGCTTCTCTTGTTGGGTGTAGCCTGCTTGGTTGCTTGGTTGAGGCATTAGCCATATTACATCTTTTATAAAAGAACACTGAAGCACACACTGATGTAGTGCTTCTGCTTTGTTCCATCTTTCTAATAAGTTCTTTTCCCCGTTCAGGCATTCATTGTTAGCAGACTATAATTTACCGGAGGATGGAAGTGATTTTGCACCAGATGATGCTGATGCTAACCTTGTCCCTGATCTGGTGGAAAAGGTTGCATTACCCATTTTGCATCACCAAGTTGTTCACTGCTGGGACATTCTCAGTACACGAGAGACGGAGAATGCAGTTGCTGCCACAAGTGTGGTAACAGATTATGTTCCGCCTTCTAGTGAGGCTCTTGCAGATTTGTTGGTTGCTATTCGTACGCGTCTGGCTGATGCTGTCACTAATCTTACGGTATAACTTTTGGATTATCAAACTAAGTTTTAAGACATTTAAGCAGGCATATGGACTGCTATTTGGCTATTGACATACTTTTGCATAATGTATATAATTTATGCAAGTGGTGTATTTATGTTTTATGCAATTGAAATAATAATGCTATCTAACTTATGTTTTAATTATCTACCTGTGAACTCTAGATTGTAACTGAGTTGATATCATTTCTTTTTTCTTTCTTTCATCATTTCCAATTTATAGGTCCCAACATGGAGCCCACTTGTATTGACAACAGTGCCAAATGCGGCACGGATTGCAGCATATCGATTCGGTTTGTCTGTTCGTTTGATGAAAAACATCTGCTTGTGGAAAGAAATCCTCGCTTTTCCAGTTCTAGAGAAGCTTGCTATTGAAGAGCTCTTATGTGGCAAAGTTCTACCTCATGTTCGAAGCATTGCTGCAAATGTTCATGATGCAATTACAAGAACTGAAAGGATTGTTGCTTCTCTATCTGGGGTGTGGGCAGGCTCAAATGTCACAGGGGACCGGTAGGTATTGCTAATGACAATAGTGTTTTAATAATATTGAATTTCCTGCGATTCAAAATATCCCCTGTTGCACTTTCAACTAACACAGTAAACTTCCTTGCATGAGTTTGCTTACTAATATTAGCTGTGTGAATGTTAAGGATGATGATCTGGCTCTGAAATAGTTACTTCGGTGTCCCATGTCTGTTATGCATACTTGACTTAAACTAATGATTTTAAGGATGCGATGTTTTAAGTTTAACCCCAGTTAATCTGGTGCTTGAAATTGGTAACAGATGTAGCCTTCTCCTTTCCTTCCATTCTCCTCCTCCCTCACCTTGTTGAAGGTCGTCCCTACATTTGCATCCAGGGTATTGCAGAGGTTAACGAAAATTGTAACACTAGTTGAGTTGAACATCGCGTTTATCATAGACCAACTCTACATTCCCTATATAACATAGCAAACTTCTTTAATTAGAAGCCTTAGAACTGTCAAATCTAATTGTATTTTGTTAGTATGTGTAGCTTAAAACGTTGTTGCACATCGTAACAACCCACCCCCTCCCACCCCCCCCC